GTTCCAGAACTTTTTCTTCTTTTTTCAAGGCTAGAACTCTACCTCTTGAGCCATACCTCCTTTTCTGGCTTTTTGCTAGTTAATTGGAGATAAATCTCTTGGATTTGTTTGCCCTGGCTAGCTTAGAATCACAATACTTAGATCTCAAGCCTTGTGAGTATCTGGGATTACAAGTATGAGCCACTGATGCCTGGCAGAAATTTTATTAGAATAAATTCTATGCACAAAGGAACACCATTGACAACATGCCTAAGATATACCTCAATAACATTTACTTATCTGTACTTCTAATTTTTATTGTGTTGTATAGTATTCCATCACTGTGTTATCTGTGGGGGCTTGATCTCAGGACCTCGGGCTCTTGCTTGACTGTTTCTCTTAAGGTGGATGCTCTGCCACTTGAGCCATACCTCCACTTCTGACTTTTCCTTGGTTAATTAGAGTCCCATATACATTTCCTCCCTGGGCTAGCTTTGTATTGTGATCCTCAGAGCTCAGCTTCCTATAGCTAGGATTACAGCTATTAGTCACCAGTGCCTGGCTTCCCACTTCTTTTTAAGTTTTCAGGGTTCATTTTGCTATTTTCATGTATATACATATAAACCATGTATCTCCTATTCTATTCTATTCTATTGTATTTACTCTCTATCGCCTGTTTAAGGCCTTGCCTCAAGACTGCCCTTTGTGGAAGGGATACCTTCCATGCTTCTCGGGCTGTCCAGGCCAGGCAATCTGGCCTTGTGAGTTCCAGCCACCTGTTCTATGCTACTGCCTGCTCTGCCCATGCTGTGTCATGGTACATCTCTGTGGACCTCTGCTGTGACTTGACTTCCTTTTCTCTGCTCTGTGTCTCCCATCCATCCAAGTACTTGACTTTCACACTGTATCTGGTTAGTTGGATCATTCTGGGAACTCAATCCTAGTATGTTGAGAAAATATACCCTAGGATTGGCAACTTGCAGCTACTTATGATTGGTCTTATATGAGTGTCCTGAGAGGGTAGAGTTGGCCCGTGTTCCAGGTGTGGACCCTGTGGCTCAGAGGTCTTATGTGACTTGTCTCTGGTGTACGCAGAGATGAGCTCAGAAGGTGGGATGTGGAGAGACTCACAGCAAAGAAAAGAGGAATCTCATCCTCCGTGAAGAACAGCACTTTTTCATTTCTACTGAGACTTCTTGGCCAAAGCTGGACAGATTCTCTAGCAAAAATCAAGGCAGGCATTCTGGGGAATCATTTACTTCTTGCAGGAACAAGTAGCTGGGGAAATCTCACTATTGTCCCTTCTCAGGCAGACCCTAGAGCCTTTAAAGGCGTGGTGTTCTGACAAGAGGTTCTAGGTCCTGGTGTGGCTGCTGATGGCCCCTGCTTGGGGATCTGCTCTTTGTGCTCATTGTTCCTCTCCGAGCTATGAGAGGCTTTTTCCTACACCTCTTCTTTCTACCATGTTGTAATTCTGCATGTTACTGCCCTGTCTTCTGAGCACATTCGTGTCATGTGCCCTTTCTATAAACGCTGATATTTGTGAAGGTCAACGTACTTTTTTATATTCATTTAAAATATACAAAGCCACATACCTTGAATACTGAAGTTTTAAGGAAAAGTTACACTTAAATGAAAATAGGAAAGGAATCCCCCCCCCCCACAAGCAATATATAATAAAGTACAGGAATTGTAGTATTTCCAAAAGAGTATTAATATTTTTACCCATTTTCCTCAGAGATGACTGAGATTGCTTTACAACACATGTAAATAACTAATCACAAGGTTCAGACTGATTTTAATGAAAAGTAAAATCGATCACTCAGTGTTTGACTGGCATGGAGATCAGTAGATGCTCAGGGTCCCCAGGAACTCAGAGGCTAAGAGAAAGGCCTGGCTTGTTTGGTTTTGCTGGCATGAAGGACCTTTGGCATCATTGCCAACTGCATTGAAATTAGAAGTAAACATAATGGGTGCTCCTGCTGAGGAGCCATGGCCGCTCCTCTTCCCAGCCAAGGCTCGAGGTCTTCTTACGCATGATTGGTGTTAGTCACCACCTGAGTGCACTGGCCACCTCCTGGGACCCGTGCAGATAAAGGATCCTTGAAATATTGCATGCTGTAGTTACAGTTCACATGCTGCCTGGAGAGGAAGCGTTGTGCCTAGAGGGTGAGAAGCTCATGGCTGATAAGATGCCTCTTGAATTATGTGGAAGGCAAAGAGGAAGTGCTGAGGGGGAGAGGGTGCAGAACAGGAGCTGTTTGTTCCTCCAGAAAGTCACTGTAGCAAGAGGATGGAGAGGGTGCTGGACATGGTACATCTGTGCAGAGATCGGCATGGAGGTGGCAGGGGGAATCCAAGATGGTGCCCGGCACTCCCTTGATGTTGGTTTTTGACACAGAGAGAGGATTTTTTTGATTTAAATTTTACTGTGTACGGAGGGGTTACAGTTACAGAAGTCAGGTAATGAGTGCATTTCTTTTTGAATGGTATCCCCCCTGCCCTCATTTTCTCCCACTCCCCACTCTTCCCCCTCAAGATTTATGGCTCATTTCCAACACAGTGTCTAGTGAGTATCACTGTTGCATTGGGTCAACCCTTTGTCTCATCATTTATGCAATTTCCCTTCCTTCTCCCAATCAGATAAACTTATGTATAAGACAAAAGGTGCAGAAATAAAAAAAACAGTGACAGCAGAGAATAAACCAAGGGAAAAAAGAGAAAGAAAGAAAGAATGCAAACAGTACAATAAAAAAAACCTCGTTTCCATTTCTTGGTGTTCATTTTGATAAGTATCATTTTATATGGTCCTACAGAGAGAGGATTTTATGAACTAAATATGGTGGGTCTCTGAGAATGGCACCCAACTGACGCTCAGATGGCAGAGCATGTGGTAGAAAATTCTAGATCTTTGTGATCCCTATGGATGCCTCCAATGCCAGGAAGGGGGTCTTTCCCCTTAATGGCTTAAACGTTCTGTTATGGGATGGCCGACACAAACATGTGTGATTAACCTTTTATTAGCTGTTGAGCTGAGTATTGTCTTAGTTTTACAGAAGAGGAGGCTGAAGCTTTGGGAATTTTGTAATTTGAATTAAATCATAAGATAAATATCTGAGTCTTGGTGGGTTTCTCCTAAAAACACACAGACACACAGACACACACTTTCATATACCAGCCTGGTTGCCTTTCACACAGTAGTTTATTAATCCAGAAACTTTAAATAACTCTAAATGAAAAGGAATTTAATTGCTGTGAGAGAAGGTACATTCTCACTCTCCCTGGGTTGCACAAATGGGAAATGGATTATCTTCCTCCAGTCTTCAGTTCCACGATCAGCTTTGCAGACAGTTTTCTGTCCTAGCTGGAATTAGAGGAAGCTCCTGGAGTGCATGTTCCTGGATCACATCTGGAGTGATTTTCGCTGATATTTATTTAGTTAATTATTTATTTATTGGCGGGAGGTCCTTGGCCCTAATCATGAGGCAGGTTGAGATGCCAGATAAGGCCCCCCCACCTGCTGTGGATGCAGACCGACTCTTAGCCCTCCCTCCTCCCCAGCGTGCCCCACACGCACAGCACAAACTGTTCTGTGTCAGTCCTCAGTCCTGGATCAGTCTAGAAGAGTCTCACCTTATTGACCTTTCTTTAGATACCACCAATGACAAAGAACTCCATTTCTTCCACAGTAACCTACGGCAAGGTACCAACTCTTAACTGATTCCAGTTTTGTTTTGAGTTGTGAATTTTTTTTTTCCTCCTTGACTTCTACCATCTTTCCCCTATTCACACGCTCATCACAGCTCTATTTTCTGACGTTACCCCATGTTACTTACTGGTACCGCATGCCCCTGCCTGTCATGTGGCTAGTAGTCAAGAGTCTGAGGTCTGGAGAGTCTAACGTGTGAGGGCAGGGATGGAGAAGATTCTCAGAAGGCCCTGCCAGCTTGCAGGTGTGGGCGGTTGGGACTGCAGGGTGGTAAGCAAATGGGGGCGTGGAGGTGTTGCTTTTCATAGGATGAGGAAAGGGGAGAATAAGAGAGCGAGCCTTATTTGTTGGTCCCTCCATTCAGCATTTTCTTGAACTGCTTTGGGGGCAAAGCCGGGTGGGGGTGGAGCTTATGACCTCTGCCGCCTCTGGTGTGTCCAGCAGGCCGGTCTGTGACTCTCCTGCAGGTTTCTGGCACACTTTGTAAGCCACCAAGAGTACAGGAAGCGCTTTTTTTGTCCTTCAGATCCCCAGCATCTGGGTGACCCCTGTTCTCAGCTCCCCTGGCCTGCCTCCACTCTCCCGCTGGGTTGGCATTTCATCCCGGTTGCCCATACTTTTATTCTGTGCATTCTCTTCATCTTTGCCACCCAACTCCCAATGGCTTAGCCCTTAGGTCTCATGGCTTGGAGAATGAGTAACCTGCCCTCAGGTTCGGGATCTGCCTTTCAATAGTACCACGTGTTCTGTTCCTCAAGGTCAACAGAGCATTATGCTCCCCCGTCCCCGTAGCTACCTTTACTTATGGTATCTGTGATAGAGTATCCATCCAACTGTGTACGGTTTGCTACGTGCAAGGGACCGAGCAACGTGCTCAGGGGGTGTGCTTACTTAATCTTCCCACCATCTATCAAGGTTGTTCACCATTACCACTCCTGCTGTAACAGACTGCTTCGAGGCAGAGACAGGCTTAGCAACTTGCCAAAGGTCACACAGCCAGACACAGGGGAGGAGGGATTTCTGAGCCAGGAAGGATGTGATGGTGGCTGGGCTGGTGTGGCCCTCACAGGCCTGACGTGGAGGGGGAGGAAACGGAGCAGCCCAGTGGAGTTAGGACACCTGGGTCTGTGTCTCAGGCTTCCGGGTGCTGACCGCAAGGACCCCTGCGTGGTGGCACACAGCAGACACTCAGTGCCTGTTCCGTGGGTCAGATACTCCTGTCCATGGAAACACGGTCTGGTTTCCTGTTGGGGAAGCCCAACTCTCTCGTGTTTGGATACCTTCCTCTACAGCTGTTCATTTCTTTATTTTTCAGGTAATGAACCACAAAGATCATGTCTGAAGTACAAGGAACGGTTGAGTTTTCTGTAGAGCTACATAAATTTTATAATGTGGATCTCTTTCAGCGAGGGTGAGTATACTTCACTGTCTGTTGTGTGTGGAGAGGTGTGTGGCTGTGTGTTTCTGGAATAAGTTGGGGGTGCTGAGGTCAGGTTATGGAACATTGGAGATTAATAAAGTATTTTTATTAATTTCCCTGCCACGAGGTAAATCCAGCCCTTTAGCATATGAAAATAAATTGCATATTGATCTCTCCGCACTGCTTTCTTTTTTCTCCTCAGTTACTCTTTCCTGTAAATATGGCAATTTTAAAGGGAAATAAATTCACAGAGAGGGATGTTCCCCTGTGTAGCCTGAATCAAAAGGTGTCCCTTTGGGGGCTATCTGTGAAGACCATGTGCTGTAAAACATATGCCTACATCTTTGGAAAACCCAAACGGTATTTCAAAGTAGAGCTTTAAAAAAAACTTATGCAAATAGTAAATGTGTAGAAAGAAAGATACAGTAACCTTTCAACCACATATGGCAGAAAGTTATAAAAGAATGTTTTCCTGAAGTTTGTTCACCATTTCTTGCATTGTTCTTCCAGCGATGGGCATTTGGTTGAATAAAATGAAATACGGCAATGTATGGGGGAAACATAAACCTAGTTGTTTCCACTGTCTTGAAGATATACTCCGAATTTGGCATCTTTATATGCACCTTCTTGATGGACTGACTTCTCGTGTGTGTGTGTGTGTGTGTGTGTGTGTGTGTGTGTTATTTTCTTCATCCATAGATTGATCCCATGTCTTGTCATTTGTGGAAAGTCTTGGGCTGAGGCCAAGCCTTGAGCATCTAGGCTCTGTTTGGATTCTAGGCTCTCTTTTTCTCTTCTGTGTTCTTCATGTTGCGCATTTGTGAGAAAAGGAAATCAGTGTTCATTACATCACGTGTTATTCTGGCATTAGAGACATTCCTATCCATTATCCCCCTGTGAAGAGATGGGCAATACAGTCTCCATTTCCAACAGGCAGCTCCATCAGGGGGTAGGAGAGTCCACAGACTACCACAGCCTAGTGGAGAGGCAGGCTGACACCAAGTCTTTTTTTAGTTCCAGGTCTTGAATTATTTTCCATCACTGAAGGTTGGTCTTCAAATGGGCTTCCATACATACATGAGCACCAACAGAATTTGGGAAGAGAAGAGCACAACTTTGACTTACAATTTTTTTTTAGCCAGAAATAACAAGGAAATCAAGCTTTATAAGCAATTAGACTCTAGAAAACTTTGGCCCAGAAAACTTTCCTTTGTCTGAAGGACAAACAGTTGTGAGTTCTGCTCAGCGTCTCAGGTGTCACATCATGAATAGGATGACATCACCTCCACCTGGCAAGATACCATTGTATGACTGGCCAGCGGGGCACCGATATGAATTGTTTTCTAGGTTAAATTTCACAGTCCTTAGGGTACTCTCACAGAATCATGAAGTGCAGATAATATTAATAATGGAAAGCTAACAAACCCCAGGAAATGCCAGAATGACTCCCTACTTGCCACATGTGTTGATAATACACATTGCGATTAAAAATGACAAGATAATCAGATCCAACAATCAGTAGGATGAGAGATTTGGGTTTCTTTCAAACCTCTTTGATATACTGACTTGTAATCGCTGTTCATCATGCACCTCATCCAAGCTGTAGCTCAGGCTTTGAGATATTGACAGTCTTATATGAAGTAATCACCAAGAGCAAAGCTTAAAAAAATGGCACATCTAAAGTATAAAGAGAGCCTTGTGAAGTTGTAAGGGGTTGAAAATGAGAGTGAAAATTATGACTCATTCAACAAGCCTGTAATACTTTTTTGCATGGTTTTTGGTAGACGTTTGTTATCCACACTCACTGTCAAATTTAATGTTGAGTAAATCTAGAACTAGAACTTGTGATATTATATTTTTAATAAGAAAAAGGTAAGGTATTAAGGCATATGGTATCTATTTTATACCATAGGTTATTGCATCCTTATCTCCTAAAAGATCTTTTCCTGTATTCCTAATGCATGCTATAAGTTGTGTAATGGTACATACACATGATTTATAACTAAATATGCAAATATCAGGGTCATAGGCTCAAACATATTTTTTACTAATAAGCATGCAAATTATAAAATGTTCAACACAACTTATCCACTGCATCATAAATACTCTGGCGAGCTTCTGTCTCTTAATTACCACATCTCATGTTCCCCGGGAGTGTGTTTATTGAGATAAATCCTTCGGATGTGGCTGAGGACATAATATTATGATTTAAAATGCATGAAGCGGGGTCTGTGGCTGTTACTTCAATGGAAGAGCCCGAGGAACACATGGAGATATCATGCCTCTCAGGGGATGGAGAGAGTTTTAGAGTCCATAAGATCTGATCAGCTATAAAACCTTGAAGTTAATAGCTACCAACTTTCTGTATCCTACCTTCAGGGAACTATGGATAGGCTGGGAACGATGCCAACCAGAACTCAGCTTTTTCCAGGGGAGTCTCTGATAGCACGATCCCTTAGGGTCAAGAGCCAAAGATTTTTTTTTTCCACTATGAATCCCACAGGAGCTATGCTTAGAGTGAAGTGTAATTATTTTACTCAGCAAGTGTTCCATGGAGAAGGGATGGCTGCAATCCAAGCCTGGTGGGCAAGATGAGGCCCTGGGGTAGCTTGTGGTAGAAAGTGAATGAATAGAAAAACTGAAGGTTTGAGGAGAGCTGGTTTGCTTTTGGGGTAAGAGGATGGATGATTAAATGTGCATTTACATAGGATTGTTGGGATTGTGAGTTATATGTCTTACACCTGAGATAACAAATGTATGAAGAGCAGGTATTTACCCTGGCCCATAGTTTCAGTTCCCGGTGGCTGTGACAGGGCAGCGCTTAAGAGCAGACATATGTGGTGATGAGTGGTGAGCCACTGGTGACTCACGCCTGTAGTCCTCGCTACTCAAGGAGGCTGACATCTGGAGGATCATGTTCAGAGCTATCCCAGGCAAACAAGAAAAAAGTCTGAGACACTCTATCTCCAATTAACCAGCAAAATGCCAGGCTTGGAGGCATGGCTGAAGCAGTGGATGAAAAAGTTGAGTGAAACTGTGAGGCCCTGAGTTCAATCCTTGGTATTGGCACAATAACAAAAGAAATATGTGGAGGAGCCAAATGACTTCTTGTGTCATTTTGAAGAGAAATAGAAGGAGGAAGAAGAGACCCAGGTCCCATAGTTCCCTGGAACGTAATACCTGCCATGACCCAAAGTCTCCACATTGGTGCCATCGGCTGCCACGGGTCCTCTGGCTCTGCTCAGATAGGAGTTTTGAGTAGCTGAGGAGCCATCCTGGGCCTCTGATGGCTACAGATTTATGAGCTAGCCTGACACACTCAGAGGTGTATTCCTCCAAGCACTGAGAACTAGAAGCGTATAGCTCTAGAAACCTGAGATTTATACCTCTAGGAGCTCAGGTTAGAGGGTTATTGCTGTGTCTCTCTGGCCTTGATTGCCAGCCCTCGGTGGTCAGTGTGATCCTTGGGCCTTTGCAGCCCAGTGGCTGAGACCATCACTGGCAGCTAATGTGATGCCCAAGTCTCAGGAGCTCTTTGGCCTCCAGGGTCTGGCCCCTTAGTCCTTCACCCTCTGCATCTCTGGTGAGCTTTGCTGTGACTGGCCTTGCCGTCCTCATTGACTTCAGCTCTCACAGCTCTCTCTCCTCAGAGGACTCCTCTGCTATCTTCCATCCTCTCCGTATGTCTTGTGTCCTTTGTAGTTTCTTGCATTCCCTCCCTCCAGTCACCTTCTTGCCGATGCCGTGGCTGTTACCAGCTCAGCGTGTTGTGCCTAGGATGACATCCCTGAGAGTCAAGGGAAAATGACCACACACCAGAGACCTTTTATTTATTTATTGCCAGTTCTGGGACTTGAACTCTGGGCCTGGCCACTGTCCTCTGAGCTCTGTTGCTTTACCACTTGAGGCACAGCTCCACTTTGGAGCTTTTTCTGTGATTAGTTGAAGAGTCTCATGGACTTCCTGCCTGGGCTGACTTTGAACTGCAGTCCTCAGATTTCAATCTCCTGAGGATGACAAAAGTGTGAGCCAATGGCACCTGGCTACCAGAGGCCTTTGATTGAGCCTAATATTGCAGCACCACCTGGCAGCATCGGAGGGCGTTTCCTGGCTGTGAGCTAAACCCAGGCCCAGGCCCATGCAAAAGTAAGATGACAATTTACATCGACCACACACAGCTTCTCGTTGTACCAATCCTTATATAAGGAAGAGGAAGACCAATCATAAGCCTTGTGTTGAGTTACTTGGGAAGCTCTTGCTCTGGACCCTCTCATCTGTGAGGGCGAAGAGCTGCGGGTGAGAAGGGTCTGCCAAGGTCCACCGAGGGCTGTGACGGCCGAGGCCGGCGCAAGTTGTTTGAAGTGGTCCCGACCGTAGCAGCACCACCGGAGCAGGAGCTGCAGCTGCCTTGCAGACATTCTTGCAGTGGAGGTGTACGTCCTCTGAGGCATTCTGGCAGTGTTCAAAGCAGCCTGGCTTCCATCTCGGCACGTCTTCTTGCCTGACAACTTTCTACCGAGGGCAGCCGGGCACCAGAGAAGGGTCTGACAATCGCCAATAAGTCATACCACATGCCCTCCCCCCAACCTAACTTAAACAAAAAGAAAACATGGACAGGATGCTCAACTAAAGGCTTCTCATGAACATTCTTAGCAGTATTTATCAGCGCTTAAGTCTTAACCCAAATATCCTTCTAAAGAATTGGGTTACTCATTCTCACTACTAGACTCTACATCTTAAAATTCTTATGACTTCCTCATAGCCCCAAATTGGGCATTAAGCCAGCACATGGACTGGTTGGGGACATTCTACCCTTGCCCCTCCAAAGACTCATCAGACTTTTAGGGACATTTCAGATCCTCCCTCTAGGAAATAGTGACAATTAGGCTGGGACTCATAAGAAAGGAGGAGAACAGCGTTCTTCAGACCAAGTCTGCCTGTGCCCCTCCCACCCCACCAGTTTATCCAGCTGATGAGAAGTGTCCGCTGTG